ACTAAGATCTAATAAAACAAGTACAGAGACAAGTCCTTTGTCTGAAGCAATCAGAAGGTCATTTGTAATTTTTACTAGTGCTGTCTCAGTGCTATGATGCACTCTAAATCCTGACTGAAATTCCTCAAATAAATTATCATGGAGAAAATCACACAGCTGGTCTGTGACTACTTTCTCAAGGATCTTTGACATAAAGGGAAGATTAGATATTGGTCTATAGTTGGCTAACACCTCTGGATCCAGGGTGGGCTTTTTTAGTAGAGGTTTAATTACAGCTACCTTAAAAGACTGGTACATAGCCTGTTAATAAGGATATATTGATCATATCTAATATATGAGTGTTAACTAAAGCCAGTGTTTGTGCCTCACGTCACATGTCGACAGCAGCAGCTAAAGGTTTGTCTTCTCCTCTTCAGGGTCCATTTCCTGGGTCACGGCCACGCCAGCTGATGTAGTGAAGAGTCGAATGCAGGCCGACGCTCAGCTGCAGAGGAAGTACAGAGGAATCTTACACTGTATCATCCACAGCTACAGGACGGAGGGAGCACACGTGAGTCCTTACTTCAGAGTTTGGTTTACAGCTGAAACATAATGCGACTCTGAAAATGTTGTTACAGACACACTTTAAGTTTTAGGACGTTCTCTGCTTTGATAGCTGTAGAAGTAAAACCAAAGACAATTCAGGAGTGGAAACATCCAGAATCAATTGTCACTTCATTTTTTAAACCATCGCTATGAGACTGACTTTGGAGTTTTATTTCTCTCGCTCTCACAAACATGATACCTCACACTGACCTCCCCGCCCACCCAGACCTCTGTCTCCTGGGTGATGTCAGGGGAGGTGTCTTTTTTTATCTCTCCGACACCAGACTGTGACCATTCAGTCACTTTTTGCCCTCATGATGGAGCACCACAAAGCACCAGTACCACTTGTTCATATTAATAAATGAACTGTGAGTTTGTTTTGAGCTCACACTGAAGAAATACTCGCATTTATTAGCGCTGCTTTAACGATTTAATTTTCTGCAAACATCTAAAAGGTCACAGCAAAAAAGAAAAAACCTCAGCACTGCTGTGTGTGAGACGAACCGGGTGCTTCAGATTAAAAACATCAGGGCTTCTGCTTTTATTTACTTAATTATCACAGGACTAAATTGAACTTTGGCATAACAATACTTTATTATAAAATGCTTTATTTAAATTCATTTAAATTGCACTTTATTTAACTTGTCATTATAATAGTACTTTTTTCAACTTTGTTAAAATAGTACTTCATTTTACTTTAGTTTAACATTATGTTTTACAACTTGACTATAAGCGTACCTTATTTATCTTTATTATAATAGTAATATATTTAATTGATTTGAACATTACTTTTTAAAATATTATTATAATAGCACTTAATCTTAAATATACCAGTACCTTATTTGTATTCATTATAACATTATTTGATTTCATTTTATTGTAACAGTTTATTTAATAGTTTAGTTTTCATTTAGTATTTCATAAGTCTGCAGTAGTTCAGAGATTTCAATGAAAGGGTGTAGTCCACGAGTTGTGATTCAGCCTAAAATATTGAGATATTCATGTCATTTCTAAAAAAAAAAAAGAAAAAAAAGCTCTCAAATATATTTTAAAAGCATCAGGTTTGACTTTTAGTTAATGAATTTTTAATTAAAGGAGAAGTCTGGTATTTTGCACTTTGAGCCCCATGTCTGGGTTGTTTATGATGAAATAGAGTGGCTGAGACCACAAGAGTGACGATTGCTCCTTCTCTGAGAATTTGACTTTCCCCTGCCTGGCTTACCACTGCTGCCTCTGGCCATGTGTGAACCTGTCCTAAAACCACCCTAAACGTTTGTTTTCAAAGCCTTGAAACTCACCTATAGGTCAATGGTGTTCCTTGATGTTCTGACATAAACATTGTAGCAAACTGTGGTTTCCATCTGTGTTTCACTGTTCGTCTGAATTGTGGAACTATTTTTTCAGCTTCCTTACACCCGTGTGTAAACTTCCGCTTGATTGTTCGTTTGACCCTGAAGCGTTATACACTCCAGCCCACTTGATGGCGATAATGCTCCTTTACGTGGGCGTCGCCAACAAGCAGGAAACCATTGCAATGTAATGGGACACAGAGAAGAAGCAGAAGAAGAAGTTTGGCGTTGTTTCAAGGTATCGTACTGCGAAGGTTGTTTCACAAGCGAGTAATTCATTGTGCAGGTGTTTTAACCTTATGGGCCCTAGGCCTTTTGTGGGGTATTTTTACTGCCTTTACTTTAAAGCTCATATCACAGTCATTATAAAGGCTACATACACATGCTATACCTTGGTTTTTTTTCAGGACAATCTGGGCTAACGAGATTTGCCATCATTCCACGTCCTTCTATGTGCCTGTATTTTATATTCATTTTTATATCAATGAGAAAAACAAATCCGTGTGACTAAATTCTTACATTTTTACATGTATCTCAGCATAGCAAGTTGGAAGAAGACATATTCTGCCATATATGAAGAGGGGAGACTCTCTGGAATCTGGCATTATGAGAACCATGATGCTGGGACATTCTGTCACTGCACAACTGTCCAAAACATATGGTTTGTGCTAGGGATGCACCGAAATGAAAATTTGTGGCTGAAGCCGAAGCCGAAGCCGAATAATATTAAACGCTTGGCTGAATACCGAGTACCGAATACCAAATGCTGTTGTTTAGTTTTTCATTAGTTTTTGCAGATGAACCCCCTCCAGATTAGTGTTGTCACGGTACTAAAATTGGATCCTTTTTTTTTTTTCTATTTAAATATCATGGTTCTGAGTAGTATCACAATACCACAGCGAAAATGAGGCAGATGTGCCTTTTGTCATTTATAAAAAGATAAATCACTTTTCTTTAATACATCAATGATATTTCAATGGAATAAATTACTTATTGACTTATTCATACTTCAAAAACAGCATCAATAAGTGATTAACATAGAGGGCATCAAAATAAAATAAAATAAATAAATAAAATAAGAATCAACCAGCCATCCTCCTCACCTTCATAAGTAAAGAACAGTCCCTAAAGTACGGTGAGGTTTGTGGGCCGTGAACGGCTCGTTTCTCCTCTGACACTTCACATACCTGTGTTCGGCTGGCTCGGCTGTTCAGGTACTTCTGGGCAGTCCACACGCCAAGGAGAGGATATTATTGGAGCCGACTTCTCCGTCGCTGGCAAGCCTATGGCCGCTGTATTTGACAGGAATACATTACTGTCTGTGTCTGTGACCCCCGTCCAACCCACAATCGATGGGATTCGCCTTTCGTTTCTGCTGCTGGTTGAAATCTGCAGGCTGCTCGCACAGCGTGCTGAATGATTTAAGCCTATTTTGCTCGCTCAAAACTATCTTTAGTTGCAAATGCGAGTGCGGTGACGGATGGATCGCCACACTGCTGACATTTCATTCTGCCTGTCAGGGCACGCGTGTCCCCCTCGATGTATATGGTGACTACGGCTCTGTCATGCATGCATAATTAGGCTGCAGTTGTCTGGGTGCGCAAAGGTGAAGTGGGTGGTTTTGTCATACAAAGTTTGATGGAGTGTCAACTGGACAATATGGAGATATTTGCATCTTGAAAGCTGGACTACAAATGTGGATAGACAGGGAGAAACACACACAAGTCTAAGACGTGGTAAGATACGATATTCCTCACTATATGAAGTGACTGATATCAAGATCTGTATAATGAATTGTAAAGGAATTTGTCAGGTTTTTATTTTGTAGACAATTAATCTGTATTTATAGCATGATGGGATGACAGCACAATGATGTGTGTGGTATCACTGGAAAGCTGTGCTCCTGCGCTTTCATGTGATATGTGTGGCATTTCTGTGCGAGCGTGCATTCGCGAGTAATCCATCCAAGAGTAATGTGTGTGCAAAGCTGTATGAAAGCTCTGTTATACATAATTTTAGTGTAACTTTATCATTTTTTGCTGTGACAACATCGGCCTACCGACAAATGCTTTATCTTGTCGGAAAGCTACAGTTCCGCTGTTTCGCGTGATATGCATGGCTTCTCGCTATGACGCACGGTCGCGGAGAAAAACCATAGAGAAGAACGGGTGTGAATTTGGACGCACAATGCGTCTTTTGAGCCCAATAGAATTAACTTACTACAAAACTTTTTTGTTGGTTCTTGTTTTTCCTCCAGGAGCGCACACAGCACTGTCCAGCAGGCACTTTTGTTGTGCTAAAAGACTACAATGACTACAACCTTGTCGTAAACAACCCCCTTTCCATTTCCTGTGGCGGATTACTACCAACGGACAGTGATGCTTCCATAGAAAACCAATGGATTAGACACAATGTCAAATAAATCATCACAGAAACCACAGTTTGCTATGATGTTTATGTCAGAACATCAAGGAACACCACTGTGAGTTTATTGCCTTGAAAACAAACGTTTAGGGTGGTTTTAGGATAGGTTCACACATGGCCATAGGCAGCAGTATTAAGCCAGGCAGGGGAAAGTCAAATTCTCAGAGAAGGAGCAATTGTCACTATTTTGGTCTTAACCACTCTATTTCATCATAAACAACCCAGACACGGGGCTCAAAGTGCAAAATACCAGACTTCTCCTAATTAATTAATTTAGTTTCCCTAAAAGTCTTTAATTAGTTCTTCTGAGTTTAAGTTTAAAAAATGTCTAAAAAAAGTTTTATTTTTGAATATAGGTCTTAAAATCTGAGGTGATGCGTAGTTGCAGGAGAAATATCTTTCCATAGAGTTCACTTTTTTTTGGGTGGTGACTCTGTCCTGAAAAGATAAAGGATAAAAGATAAAGTAGTTATTAAAATAAAAAGCATAACATTTGCCTTATCAAAGTACTTAAATATCTTTAAGACAGAGATTAACCTCTCGACATTTAATATTGGAAGTGCAAGGTGTCTGCAGTGTTTATATTGCACAGTCTTGGAATAAAACATTAATCCTCCAGGAAAAGAAGCAGAAGCTGTGTTTCACACGGAGAAAGCCAAACTCATTTTCTTCATCTGCAAGTTAAAGTGATTTGTCAGGACACACGTTGCTTTTTCACCTCAGAGAACTGTAAACTAAAAACCTGGAGGCAGATGTTAGAAATCAAGCCTTGCAAAAATACATGATTATATTAAATTAGGTTTCACAGAGTTAATGTTGGACTACAGAACATTTTATCTACCATTAACTGTAGAGGAGGGAACTGGTTTGGTTTCATGTTGGGAAAATGTGACTGTTTTTATCCTACTCAGAAACAGCTCTGGACGCTTCATTAGTTCATTTACCTGGAAAGATCCGGTGCCAGACTGTAATTGTTAAATCAGCTACAAATCCATTACCACATTGTAATTTAAGATTCCACAAAGTTGATGTAATTTACCTCTTAAAATCAGCAGATAACCTGTTACTTAAATACTCAGGGTGTACGAGCTGCTGTAAAGGAAACAGATGGTTTCATCATCTGGAGGTGAAACTCTAGAAAACAGAGTCAAGCTGTGTTCCCAGAACTGGACACCCCTGAAGTGTAGTGGACCACATGATCCCATCAGTGAACGAAAGCTCAGCATCCAGATGAGCCTCTTTTAGTAATGATCATGTTATGACATCAACAAACTTGTGACTGATCAGACAGAGTGACTAATAATCTGATTGATTGTTGGTGGAATAGTGTAATTCACTAGAAAACATGGAGGGAGTTGTTCTTCCAAAAAAACAAAACAAAAAGGATCAATATAACTTATTGATCCCCTTTATTATCAGGACTCCAGACAAAGTGAGGACAGTTTGGATGGATCAGCAGAAATAAGGAAGTGAATCTTCCTGGCCTAAAATCAACATCTTGTGCTACATGCAGCGTCCAGGTGTCAGAGTTCACAAAGTTCTCATGCCAAAGGTTGCAAAATGTAGACAAACAATCCAACATCCAACAACTTCAATAACAGAGGCAGCAGTACAATATCAAGATCAATAACAGAAGGTCATTGGTATCCCAACAAAGTGGACTGGGTTAACCGTTCACAGATCAGTGAGTCAGGTTATTACAGGACAAATTACTTAAAGGAACAGATCACTCCCAAATCAAAAATACATACATCTCCTCTTACCTGTAGCTGTTTATCAGTGTAGATAGTTTTGGTCCAGTGTTGGAGAAATCGGCTGTAGAGATGTCCTTCTCTCCAACATAATGGAACTAAATCTATTAAAAAACAAAACAAATACAAATCTCAACATCGATGTATCTTCCAGAAATAATGATCTGGTTACTGAAGATAATTCACACATCTTGTTGTGAGCAGTTTCATGTAGGGACTACTTTCTTTATATTGAACTACACCCACCAACCGTATCACGGTACAGCAGGAGGCATGTATCTACTCATGGACATGAGATGTAAACATGAAGGTGTCCTCCTCTGCTGAGCTGTAACGTGAGACAGAGCAATTTAACAGCTTCAGTTTTCTGACTCACTTTGAGTTAAGGGAGTGAAAATATTCCAAATAAAGCATTAGGGTTAGGGGGTTAGTACACCACAGCAGGACAATGCTGAGCTTCTGTGGTGGAGATCCAGCTGTTTCTTCAAAGTGGAGGAGTGTCAACCAACATCTACTGTCGGTAACTCACTGACTGTGGATAAATACCTCATACAACTCCACTATAAAAGATCTGAACTTCATACTGGATTTATATTGTTTAAAACACGGTTGTACGCTACTGTAATCACAACAGTGGTTTTTCTTTCTTTTTGTCTGGGAAACAAAAGTTCAGAAATGTAAGTCACTAAAGCTGAACATTCTTGTGTGCAGATTTTCTTCCGTGGAGCGTCTGTCAACGCCATCCGAGGCTTCCCAATGAGCGCCACCATGTTCCTGACTTACGAACTGTCCCTGCAGTTCTTCAGGAGTTTCTAGGACAGAGGAAACGCGTTGGGTGTAAAAGGAATCGCACTCAGTTTTTTGGCCAATGAGCAGTTTGTTTGAGACAAGAGGTTTTAGAAGCCGTGAGTCAGAACATTTTGCTGTCAGGTGATGAAATATTTGAGCTTCTACTGACTTTCGTGCCTTAGAAAGAGTGGTCATTGATTATTAGGCAACTTTATTCATTACAACCAAACTCAATGTGCTTTACATAAAAAAATCCAATGAAAATTAGATATATGAATACAGACCCTTAACACCCCCCCACCCCCCCCCACACACACACACACACACACACACACACACACAATGTTTAAAGGTCTGAGAAACACTGACCTAACATTGATATCATTGGTCTGTTAGATCAATGCTTTAAACTAGTGCTTCAGTTTTTGGGAGATTTTTTTTTTTTTGTTAAATCAGAGTCAGGACACGAGAGCCATCCATGTGTTTTAGTGAGTGTAAATACCTTCACTGCTTGCCTGTGGGCCAGTAAGCTGAAACTTTAGACCTCCTGAATGAAGTCCACATGGTTGGGGGGGGGGTCTAAAATCCCTGACCTCACGAGGTTGATGACTTTCATCTGTGTTCCAGAAGGAGTGTGTCATATAATCTCGTTCACAATAATACCGGTATAGTTGTTAATATGATATGAAAAATTCACATCATGAATCGTGCAATATTTCGACCTCTTGGCATCATACTGTTACCCACGGCAACAACAAGCCTGGCTGACAGTGAGTTGATGATGGACTGTGCGGTGGTTCAAAAAAAGAGGAGGAGCTTCAGTAGTGTGCAATAAAGTGTGGCGTCGGCTCAGAAGGAATTCATACAGTGGCTCCTTATGGCAGCAGCACAGTGATTCTGTCTCCCAACAACCTGTCACAGGTTATAGCCTGATGATCAATGGTTTATATTTATTGATCCAGGGGATCTTTTTTAAAATGTGATTTAGTTGAACTATTAATATTGTAACAGAACCTGAATCTGACTCTTAGTCACCGTTGTTGTTCGCAAACTAAAGAAATGATATCATCACCTTTCTTTAGTTTTTACTGAATATTTTAAACAAACTGTGAAACGACGTCACTGATTCTGTTCTTAAATTGATAATTCAATAATATTTTCTAATTTCTCAATTCATGAAGAATATCGTCAAATATTCTGACATTATTTCAGGCCCATGTTGCCATATGTTTCACCACAGCTTTGCACATGGTGCATTCAGCAGTTCAGCCCTGTGTTAGTGCAGAATGTCAGGAAATTAGCATGCACAGATTTTAGCAGTAATTATTTTGAGACGTTGGTGTTGCACACGTCGGCATCTTACTTATACTCATATATTATATATACTTATATACTTCAGCTGCCAGCATTTAGTTTAACAGAGGAATTTAAATGTACCAAGGTCAGGACAGAGCTCTTGTTATCTGGGAGTAAGGACGTGGTAGTTAGGAGTGTGGTTCCAAATCCAACCAAGGGGAGGAAGTGGAACCCAAGATCGACAGTTCAGGAGGCAGAGGCAGCTTTTAGACATGCAGAGATTGTAGGTAATGTTCAGTTTGGCCAGGGAGGCCTGGGGCTTGGCTCAGGCAAACCGGTATGGAATAAAGCAAGTCTCAGAAATAAAAGAAAGCTAGTTGTAGAACAGATATGTAGACAGGAGGAGATATTAAGGGGTGCAAAGGTAGTGGCCCAGGCTAAACAGGGACAGTGGTTGAATTGGGAAAGTGTAGAGAAGAGGAAGCTTAGTTGGAGGGACCTGTGGAGTATGGAGGAGAATCGTATTAGATTCCTGGTAGGGGCTACATACGATGTCTTACCAACCCCCCAGAACCTAAAACTGTGGGTAAAGTTAGCTTGTGACAAGGCCGATATACATGGCGACATAACCAGGTGTTGAAATATTTAGCTGCAGGCATCGAAAGGAAAGGAAGACAGGTGAATTCAGAAGGTTTTAAGAATAGGAGTTTAGTAATTCAGTTTGTCTGCGAGGGAGAGAAATACAGAAGGGATAAGTTAGTAAGGAGGCAAGGGTGTGGCCACCTAGAAGGTGCTTGTGTTTGGGAAATGCAAGTAGATTTAGGGGGAAAGCTTGTTGTTCCCCAGGAAATAGTTTGTACCAAGCAGAGGCCTGACATAGTGTTGTTGTCAGCGAGTCAACAGATAGTTTATTTTATTGAGCTGACAGTTCCTTGGGAAGACTCGGTGGAAGAAGCCTATGAAAGAAAAAAGCTTAGATATGCAGACTTAGGAGCAGAAGCTGAGCAGCGAGAATGGAAGACTAGGATTTGTCCAGTGGAATTGGGGTGTAGGGGATTCATAGGAAGATCAGCTGTCTCGCTCCTGGGGGAACTAAAGATCTAGTCTAGTCAGTTGATTTGGATGAGGAGAAGTAATGTCAGTTGGGGGCCAGCAGGGGGAACTACTAAGCAGGGTACATAACTCCTTGAGATCAGGTGGAGAGATCAGTCCTCTCAGGAGAAACTCCAGGAAGAGGAAGGTTATTTAAGTGTGGGAGTGGCCTATTTGAATCCCTTTTGTTTGAGTACATGCTGCAAGGTGAGTGTGCTTGCTGATCCTATGAGTTCATTTATCTCTTTTAACTTTAGCTTACATTGTAGTTATGCTATGTAGTGTGTGAAATAGAGTATGGTGAATGTGACAGGAAAGCTAGTATCAGCATTGCTTCTGCCTGGAGCTCGCATGTATGGAGCCTGGGTTTGGTTGAAGATGGCAGTGCTGTTTGGGCTGAGAAAGCCATGTGTAAGTAAGGTAAAGGAGGTTATTGGGTTGGTGCAGGGAGCAGTGAGACCTAGCATTAGGGGAGTGTCTCTGGGACACCAGATCACCACCCGATGACCCCAAAGACATGTTAGTTATCACTGCTAACTGGTTTGTATAGATAAGCTTTGTCACAATAGCTTATCATAGGGCTTAGGAGGTTATTTACTGAGTGCTGATCCTTTGTCTAGAGCACAAACTTTTTGTGTGTATTTGAACTTTCTAAAGCAAATTTACCAAAGAATTCTGTGTGTTCCTCTGAACGTACTTAAGTTATGTTTTCTGTTTGGGATCAGTCTGACCTGAAACTGTTTTTTATATTTCAGAATTTTTAATACTTACAGTGGAACTGTGTTTGCACACCTGTGGACCATCAGTATCACACAATAACATTATGACTATGTCATTACACAGATGTAAACAGTGGACACTGATGTAGTGATTTTTAGGTTGAAAGCTCTAAAGAAAGAGAGAAAGAGCTGATTTTTATTTAACCATCATTTAACATCATATCAGTAACAATATTTAAACATGTAATAGTGACCTTTTACACGTTTAAATCAATATTTGATAAGTCAATTCAAAACCATGTCATTAATCCCTGTAAGGACAATTTCTGTTTAAGTTACAACTTTATTTAACCTCTATGTTTGAACCAAACTCAGCTCAACCAATCCAAAATGTCATGACCTGTAAATCAACAAATCAGTGGTTGTTGTCATGACATGTACTTTACAGTGTTTTTCATGAAAAAACAAGGGAGCTGTACACGATAAAATATGACATGAAAATAGGGCTGAATGCTTTTATAATGGATGTGGCATTTTCAACACAATGTCGTGTGTTTTAGCAGGTCAGTCTCAGTGAGCGTTTAGTGTTGATTTGTTTTTGTTTTTTTTATAATTTTCTATTAGTTGGTACAGTTAAAATTTGCTATTTTAATATTTTCACATTTGTAACGAGAACATTAAATGTCAAAATTAAATGTTAATTATTTAACTTTTGAATGAAATTCAGAAATAGATGTTTGCTCTTTAAATTTTATTGAAAATGACACATCCATTCACAACATGAATTGTTGCCTTTCAGTGCACACAGACTGCATGTGCGTCCCGTTTAAACCTGCACATACTATGTTTGTGTCTTTATTATATTAGGAAGCGCAAGTTGACAAGTTAATTATAACTTCACATTGTTATCGAGCTTGTTCATATAATACAATTAAAATGCATTAATTCAGACATAGAAGCTAATGTTCCTAATGCTAACTGTCCTGTTATTGTTGTATAAAGTCTGCAGTGTTAATGTAGAATCATGAATGTCAACAGTTTAAACATATTTATAGCCCATGATGCTCAAGATTTCAAGATTTACTTGAAACTTGATGAAATAATTACTTAAATGAATAAAAACATGTGAAGTCATGTTGAGATTTTCTCTATCACGAAATCATGACATTCAAGACAAAATCATTAAATTATAAATCAACTCTTCATTCATAAATTGGATATTTCTGATTTTAGAGTCAACATCTTCAAAGAAATGTCTTTGCTGTGTGCAAGCCACATTTTAAATAGTTTTCTTGTTGTGTAAATACTTTGTAAATATGTAAACTACCATTCCAGATGGTGTTTTATTGTAAATAAATAAAGTTTTTAAACATGTGTTATTGCTTCTGCTCTGAATTTGTTCTTGTCAAAATAATGTGATGGTCATGTGACAGCCTGTCATGGGTTAGGATTGGGTTAGGGTTGGGGTTCAGGGGTCAAATGTAGACCTATAAAGCACTGGCCTACCGACTG